TACGGGTTAATCCAAATGTGGCCTGGAGAGATGGCTCCAGAGAACAAGCACTGCTCTTGCGGAGATGTCAGTTCTCAGCATCCCCACAGCTCACAGCTGCCTGTAGTTCCAGCTGTGGAAATCAGATACCTCAGTGTCCTCTGACGTCTGCACTCACATGCACACACTACACACACACACAATTAATAGCAATATAGCCAGATGTGGTGGGACACACCTTTCACTGTAGGCAGAGGCAGGTGGCTCTCTGAGTTTTTTGGCAGCCAGGGCTAGAAAATAAGAGACACCCACACACATTCAAGTACCTTCCAAAACTGCACTATCGCCCATTTAGTCAGCACAATGGTCTCTCTGGCCATTGTCCACTCTCACCCCACGTGATGATACCTTCGATCACTGTCCACTTTCAACTCCTGAAGGCACCCCACTTTACTCTGCAATAAATCCTGCCTATCCTCTAGATCTCACTCTGAATTCAGTAGAGAACTCATGGACCAGGGAGCAAAAAACAGTGCATTCACATGCCAGGATCTCCAGCTGACAGGAGACAGGTAACAGCAGCCCCTCACAGGCACTGATGGGTGTCACTGGCCCCAGAAGCATCTTCCACACCTCACCACATTTCTGCATATTCCAGTGAACCTTCCTAATGCAGCAAGGCCAGGCTGTGCTGTCTTCTGAAGAGCACTGAGGAGGGGGGAGGAGAGGGGTGGGAAGAGGAGGAAAGGGGAGAGGGAAGGAGAAGAGGGGAGGGGGAAGAAGAAGAGGAGAGGGGAGAGAAAAGGAGAGGAGGGGAGGGGAGGAAAGGCCCTCTTCCAAATGGGTCATCAGTTAAACAGATACACTGACCAGTGTCACAGGAAACAAGCACCCTCTGGGGTTCCAAAAGAAAGGAATAAGAAGTCACTATGCATAAGGGAAACCATCATAAGTGTTACTCATGGTGATGCAGGCCTTTAATCTCAGCACTCAGGAGGCAGAGGCAAGCGGAGCGGAGCTCAAGGCCAGCCTGGTTTACAGAGTGAGTTCCAGGACAGCCAGGGTTACACAGAGAAACCCTGTCTCAAAAAACAAAACATCAGCAACAACAAAATGAAAACAAAAAGAATGACATCCACCAGGAGGCACCAGGAGGACAGAATGATCATGGAGGCAGGGAGAATGTGTATGAGTGCTTCCTACATAGGCAGGAGATCTGGTTAGGCCCAGCCCCAATGCAGAGAGGGGTCTTGGAAGGCAAGAGGTCTAGGACATAGCCTGAGGGCCAACAGTCAAGAGGCCATATGCTGAGTGCAAAGTGGAGCCGCTGCATCTACTACTGGGAAAGACAGAATCTGCTCCACCCAGAGCACAAGCAGCACTGACTATGCCTCTGTTTACCTGCAGTGGCTCTTCACGCCGCACCCCCTGAACTAATCTGGACTGTAATCTCATGTGCTATGGCACGACCATTCCCTCTGGGTATAACACAGCCAAGCCGCTGTGATGATGATGACCTTGCTCAGTATGTTCAATCTAAGAAAAGAGAGAGAAGAGATAGAGAAAAGGAAAACAAACAAACAATCCAAAGAACTAAGCAAACAAAATCTCAAGAACCTCTCCCTAGACAAACACGGCATTCGTTAGCACTTGGCATGTACCCACTAAATTCAGGCAGCGGGTCAACAGCGCCTCGGGCACTGAGGACCCCACGGTTAAACAGCACTGAGCCCTAAGCCACTTCCAAGATGGCCAGGTCCTGCCAAGCGCTGACACCAGAATCCCAGTCCTGCCCCCAACCCAGTCCTGGTTTGGCTAAGCCACGCAGCCACCTCTACAGGCCAAAACTGTATTCAAAGCAGTCGGCCTTGGATATAACAAACACACTTTGTACGCTGTTTCCTCCACACACGGGTTCCCAGGGAAGAGGGCCTAAAGTCAGCAGACAATCCCGGGCTCACTTCCCCTCCAGGGGGTGGAGACAAATTCAAGGACCCCAGGATGTAAGGCTTGCTGAAGACCCAAGGGTTGGTGTCTTTAAGAGAGTCAGGGATGGTGGTGCAACCCTTTAACCCCAGCACTCAGGAGGCAGAGATGTCACAACCACATAAAGCATGTTGGGGTCCTAATTCAAACATCAGTCAACCTTGGGTAATTGAATACCTGCCTTAAATGAAGACTTTTTAACTTTGAGGTGTGTGGCGGGGAGGTAGTTGTGAGACTGGAATGGGGGAATGAGGACTGGACAGACGTACCAGCATTGGGTTCTATCATGAATTATGGATTATTCTCCTACACTCTAAAGTATGTTGAAATAAAATGACTCACAATCTAAATTTTCTTCAAAGTACTTCAGCAGTAACAACAGCAAGGGGGAAAAAAAGTGAATGAAACCAGACAATTCTTATTAAACACAAACTCTAGACATGGATCATGGGGTGATCCACTTCTGCTAGCTGAAAACGTCCACGATTAAACAACAACAACATATTAACCTGTCCTTTTGAAGCACTTTGAGAGAGAAAACAGAAGCAAAGCTCTTTTCTCTTGACTTATTCTGAGAAAAGGTTCTTGATGAAATCTGAGCACTGAGGGGGAAAAAACAAAAAACAAAACAAACAAAAAAACAAAGCTCATGCCTGCAATCCTACCACTTGGAGGATCAGGAGTTCAAGGTCACCCACAGCTAAATATCAAGTTCAAGGCCAGCCTAGACTACTTGAAACCCTGCCTCAAAATAAAAACAAACAAATAAAAAATGAAAGGCCTCTCCCTGGTTCAAGAATCTTAGCTGTAACACCTAGGCACCTGGAAACCTCTTGACTATCAGCTTTCCCAGCCCATGTCAGAAGTGAATCTCCAAGGAGGGACACTGCGAGATGGTACCCCTGTGAAGTGCCTTAGGTGACGGCCACACAATCTCACTGGTTCCTTCCTGTTCCAGGGGCCCAGCCAAACAGTTGTCCATCAGGGTCTGTGTTCCAAGCCCTCGGGGACAAGGATCACACAGGATTCCACATTCCCACTGCTAATGCCAAGCTTAAAACTGTGTTCTCCAGTTTCAAAAACAAAACAAACAGAAGAAGGTGGCATGGCTAACTGGGTGCATATAATATGCCAGGTGTCCATTCTCGCCTACATCGGGTGATTCTCACCAACATTTGGGTGTGTTTTAGACATCTGTGTTGCGGCTGAGCCTACTCCCTAGGAAGAAAACAAGGGTACCTACAGGGCCCAGGGGACTCTCACTGGGCAATGTATCAGCATTTACTCAGCAAATCCAGGAGAAAACCCCCAGTGAACAGGCCAAGCCTGGCAGTGCTGAGTGTGCCTGACACTTGAACCAGAGGCCTCTGGTTCACCCAAGGAAAGAGAAAAAAAGAGGAGAAAAAAAAAAAAGAAAACCCTCACAACTGTAGCTTTGTTCTAACAGCATCAAACCGCTGGGAACAAACTTCCAGCCATGAAACTGACTGGCATTTGATCAGAAACATGTCAATACAGGTCAGCGCCTGGGCTAGGAAGCCAGAATTCAACAATTCAGAAAAAATTAACAATCTCAAGTCCTGCGAAACACTCCCTTGTCAACAGGTATCCGTGTTTGCCCAGACTGACAGCCAACACCCCTGGAAAGAAAAAACATGTGACTCCCAGAATCCAGTGTGAGGTGGTACAGAGGGATGAGTAGACCCTCCTGGCAAGCGCTGACAGTCACCAAGCAGTCAGTGCTTGGTAGCAAGGCAGGACTATGAATAAATAATCTTTGCAAGTCACACTGCACTCTTGGAGCGGCTCCTGTTTAACATTTCAGAACGCGCACCAGCTAAATTACTTTTATGTGCGGCGGTGTTATGTCAGACATGGAGACTCGGGCATGCTGTAACTTGCGGAAAGAGTGACAGGGAGCTAAAGCCCCTGTTCACTATTCCATCAGTGGCACGCGGCTCTGGGGGCCTGAGGAGCACTTTCTTGACCACATTCTAAGCCTAGAATTGCGTGCTCAGGCTTCCCCTCTCTTGCCTCAAGAAGTGACCTATACGAGGAAGTGTTTAATGCCACAGCCTGATTCTTTGAAGGAGAGCAGTTTCTAAGTTTTTAGAATGATCTTAAAGCATGGAGCAGTGGAGTGGTTCCCAGATGCTTGCCCTGAGAAAAGGGAGAGACTGAGCGGCCAAGGATAACAGACTTCACTAGGTAAGAGGCACACCCTGATCCCCACACTTACACACAGAGCTGAGGAGCCAGAAGAGAAGGCTCATGAAAATACCCAGGAGCACACTCCTGACGTCATCAGACCAGCTGCCGACAGCTCAGCAGTTAAGTGTAGCCCCGGTCCCCGCAGCACACCCAAGTGCAGTTCCCGGCACCCACGGTGGATGGTTCACAACCACCTGTAAATCCAGGCTGAAGAACTTCAGACACCTCTGGCCTCTGAAGGCACCTGCACTTAAAGGCCAATCTTGGGAAACTTAACCCAAACCAGTACTTCATGCTAGCAGATTTCACAAAAAATCACAGGTACCGAGAGTCTCTGATTGCAACTGGAATAAGTATATTCAGGTGTCTTCCAAAAGTGCATCACCTCCCATTTCTCCCCGAAGCCTGAAGTTGCCTTTTCCCAATATTCAGGAAGAAACTGTCATTTTTCTCTAGTCCTTGGTGGCGATCTTCCTTATACATAAACCCCTCTGTTAATACATTATGTGACGACACATAGATCTCAGAATTTTAAAACCAAACTGATCCAACCACACGGTAGGAAGAGGCGAAAACATCGGATTGGCGAACCTCAAGTGTGTGATTATGTGAGATCATATCAGGGCACCACTCAAGAGCCCACCCCCGACTGCGCAAAGAATGCATAACCAACACACTGCAGGAAAAGGGAGTTTTCCTACAACTACTGATTGTGTTAATGTATCCATTCATAGCTTCCTCAGCATGGTGACCGTACATTTAATGTTGAAGATTTTTAAGTTAAAACAACAACAATCCAGTTCCGGGAGACACACGCAACTTACCTGACTCCTCTCTTTGTCCACTTTCTTGAAACACTTATTCAGGGACAGATTATGTCTCACTGAGTTCTTCCACCCAGTAGGCGCATTAGCGAAATACGGGAAATGTTCTAAGATCCAGTTGTAGATATCCTTCACCGGCAGGCGCTTGGTTGGAGAGTCCTCAATGGCCATAAATATGAGGCAGCTAAAGGAGTAGGGGGGCTTGCAGTTGGGGTTCTGCCTGGCATCGTAGGGCATGTCCGAGCGAGCAGGGGATGGCGGGGCGCCGTCGTCCAGGTCCTGGACGGGACTGACGCTCCTGAGGACCGACTCCCCGAAGCTCTTCAGCAAGTTCTTGCTCTCATGCAGCCAGTTCAGGTTGGTCAGCTCCTCATCTTCCATGGTCCCCTCTTCTAATCTGGTCTCAGGCAGAGGGAAGTCAAGGCCATCGTCTTCCTGGAAGGCCTTGGACAGGCCACTGCCCCGGTAACGCTGACTCAGTCCACTAGACACACTGATTCCTGAGCTCTCGGGCTTCTTACTGGCAGGCATGACTGGACCCATTTACGTGAAGGCTCCTGGGAAGGACAGAGCAGAGAGATGATGAGCTAGACCAACTCAGGACAGAAAGCAGCCCGGTCCCCTCCTAACGCTCTCCCCTCCTCTCTGGGCTCTCAGCTACACGGTGGGTGGCGGCATCGCAGGCCTTCTGCATGGGAGCCACACAAGCCGACCACACAGCTACACCGTGAAGAAAAATGAGCCCAGGACGTCGGCAGCACGGGGACCCGACGGGCCTTAAATGGAACCAAACTGAAAATATATGTGGCACCTTTCATGTACAAATACATCATAAAAGGAACAAGCAGTTTCACGGTGGCTCCTCCCTGGGTCTGCAAGGTTCCCGATGAGCAGAAGAGAACTCAGTACTACTTGGCTCTCACTCTCTAGGACACATGCACATCCCCCTAACACACAAATTTCGTTAAAGATGCAGGATGCGCACAACAAAGTAAGTATAACGGAAAATTACTCATCTCATTGTCTATCTTCCTCACAAAAGAAAAGAAAATGCCAGCTCTGAAGGTACTCACTCCACTTTAATCCCAGCACACCTGCTAATTCCAGCATTTGGAAGGGTATGGCGGGATGAGTGAGAGTTCAAGGCCAAGCTGGGCTACATGAAATCCAGTCTCAGGAAAGAGAGAGAGAAAGAGAGAGAGAGAGAGAGAATGCTAATAAGATGACTTAGCAGGGAAAGGCAATTGCGGTTGAACCTGATGACCTGAGTTTGATCCCCAGACCTACATGCTGCAAAGATAGAATCACTCCAGCAATTTGTCCTCTGACCTCCATATGTGCACGGTGGCAAACATGCACCCCCATATATACATAAACACACACATATGTATAGACATATGTACACACGGACAGATACATATAACAAATAAATGTGGGTTTTTTCAATGTAAGGAAAAATAATAGAGATGGGAGGGAAGGCGAGGAGAGTCACTTTCAATCCCATAAGAAGAGCCTCATAAGGGTCCTGGAAGTAAAACTGTTCACCAGCGGCCAATGATTTGACTGTTTGGTTTTATTTTGTCCCACAGAAATCATTAAGAAAAAATTACAACTTTAATCACATTTTACAAGTGTAAACCAGGACAAGGAATTCTGCAGACTACAACTTGAGGGAGTACATTCACTTGAAGGACATCACACGGAGAGAGAGAAAAGCATGTAACCCCAGGCACTGGAAAAACAAATGGGAATGAAAATAAGCCCTTAACTGGGACTAGAACAAACGAAGAAAATAAAGCTGAGGGAGCAACTGGAAACATCAGAACAGGAAAGCAAATTCAACAGAAACTGTAGCAGATTCTCTCCCTCCAACAAAAGCGTCCTCACTCTTATCAATGACCTAGAACAGAGCATAAAACAGTATCTGACTAGAAAATACAAGATGTCAATTTTACAAATAAAGCCACCCCTACAAACACAACGCCCTGGCACACACGATAAAGGGGACAATGGGTCTTTCACTAGCTGTGTGCAGAGCTAAAACTGTGTGCTTAGTTTAAAAAGCATCTCATTTTTGGCTCCACGGAGAGTTAAAGCAATGTACCTAGAGAAGAATGAACACATAAAAGGCAAACAAATGGTCGTCCCAAGCCTCTAAATACCCATTAATACAGCATCTAAAATGACCACTGTTTCAGCGCAGGAAGTTCTAGAACTGGATTCTAGAAAGCATGATGCAGAGCACCAAACAGCCAGGCACGGTGCCAGCATGCTGCAGCGCTTTCCCACCAGCGGGGCAGAGGTGCCAGAGGCTCGTCTCTGAAGTATACGAGATGTCATCTCTAGGAGGAGAAAATCTCCACTGGGCATCACAGCCCAAGCCGGGCAGGGCAGTCCAGATAAATTCAGTTCATCCAGGGAAATATTTCTCTCTGTCAAAGAAAAGGGAGCTAAATCTACATAATAAATCATGCATATTATAGAAAAATAGTAGCTCATATCTTCAGGTTTGGAGATGCTATTGAATCCAGCCTGATACAGCTTTTAACTTCCTTACGAAGAAATCAAGGCCAACTTGTCTCAAAGTTTCCTAAGATTCCCCTAGAAAGGGTTCTAATTGCCAGCATGGCCACACAAAAGAGAACTACCCAGCCGGCTGAAGTCAACTTTAGCCCCAAATGAAAGTTTTATGTCTCCTGAGCTTCCAAACAGGAAAATTATATCATGGCTGACAGTAAAGTAATTTAATTGCACTGTTGCTATGACAACATACTGCTCTCTCTCTCTCTCTCTTTTTAATTTGCTTATTTGTCAGTAGCTTCCCAAAGGAACTAACATGCTATTCTCCATGTTTTCTTTTGTTTTCAAAAAACACTGTCAGCACTGTGATCCTATAAGAAAAAATGTTAAGTGTCTGTGCCAGGAAACAGAGGTCTGGGGGGGGGGGAGTTCCTAGCCCCTGGAATTGTCTGTTTCCCCAAACTCTCCATCCACTGCATTCATTCCCTATAAATCCCGCGCTTCATAACAGCACGGACGGCTCCTCACCACTCTACTTTCTATGGCACAACAAAACAAGCGATTCCCAGAAACCACCGCTGAGTTTTCCATTATTATATCCTAACTACAAAATTTTCCAAATCTCTTTTCCCTTCGTCTTATTTTTAGAGGGGTGGAGGGAAGTTTGTGAACCTGAGGCCAGGCAAACATTTTTAACCTGCTTTTAAACTGCGTTGCTTTGAGCAGTTATACAGCAGTGACCGCCTTACAATTTTTAAGTTATTAGTTACGCCTCACACACCCTCCTTTTGTTTTCCTTTTTTTTTTTTCCTCTCTCTCAATGACTTCCTGTGTTTTATCACTCTTTCATCGAAGAAAATGGAGCAGGAAAGCTTACTTTTTGTCTAAAAGCAGACCGTCTCCCAATAACTGACAACGCCATTACGGCCCAGGTCTGAACAGATGTCGGTGGAGAACTTTTTAAAAAGTTGAGAAATCTTCCTCAGCCAAAGCTGGGCAGTCTCGACTTTGGGGGACCGGGAACCTCCCCCTCCTTGCGCGCGCACGCACGCACGCGCTCCACTCCCTTTTACTGTACTTGTCAAAAACATTTCAAGGGGACCAACCGGGACAGCGATTGGCCGTGCCCTGCGTCAGTCAGCCGCGTTGCCAGGCAACGGGAAAACTGCTCTTCTCCGCGTACACAGGGCAATTGGGAGCCCGCATACCTTCACTGCTGGTCAGATGTCATAAACCTTTTATTGGCCGCGGCGTGGCGAGCCTAAAAACAAATCAATAAGCGCCCACTATCCCCCACCCTGCTCCCGCGGGGCCCAGCGAGGCTTGCAGAGAGTCGGGGTGCGGAACGGGGCCCCGAGGGTCTCGGGATGCTCGCGGCCGGAGCCGAGCGTGCTCAGTTAGGGAGGGGATCTTTGTTAGGCGCCCGTCCGCGGTCCTGGGGTCTGGAGTTGCTCTGCACCCTCCGGCCGACCCGAGTTTCCGGGGATGCCTGCTCCGCAGACAATACCAACTCCGTCGCTCTCGGAGTCTTTGGGGGAAACCGAGGCACGCAGAGCAGCCAGCACGTCGGGGCAGGAAAGTCCTGGGCGGGCAACTTCAGGGCTCAGGACTGGGCTCCCCGCACCCCACCCCGGGTGCAGCCTCGTCCTCGTGCCGCCGCGACGGCTCTCGGACGCGGACCCCGGCCGGGGAGGGTGGGGGGCGCGGGCGGGGCGCGGGCGCGGACTTACCTGGCCGAGCGCGGCGCGGGGCCGCCGCTGCCTCCCGAGCAGCCGACAAAGTTTCTCGGGCGCCCAGCGGGCATCGCTCGGGGCCCCGAAGCGGACGCTCGAGCCCTGGGCGGGCGGCTGGGGGCGGCCGCGGACGCGGACGGCAGGGGTGCGGGGAGCGGCGCGGCATGGGCCCCGGGCGAGCGTCCGCGGGCGCCGCGTCCTCCCGCCGGCCCCGCCGCTCTCCACGCCCCGTCCCGCCTCCCCGCTCGCCTCCGCTACGGCGCGTCGGGGCCGGGGCGCGCCGAGCCGCGAGAAATTGTTTCCACTGCAAACAAAAAAAAAAAAAAAAAAAGGCGACACATGACCAGGCAGGAGGAGGGGAAGAGCGGGGAGGGAGGGGCGGAGGGAGCGGGAGAGACGGAAAACGTGGGCCGGGCGACCCCGGGCCGCGGCGCCCGCCCGCGGGGAGGCCCTCCGGCCAGGCTGGGTCCCCGGGGCTCCGGTGCGGCGCCCGGGGAGCGAGGGGAGCCGGGCAGGTGGCGCTTGGCCGGCCCCCTCCCCTGCTTCAGGCCACACGGGCGGTGCTGCGCAGCTGGCAACGTGTCGCCGCAGCGCCTTTCCCCCAGCCGCCTGCCTTACAAGGCTCGAAAGTAAAAATAAAAAGAATTACGACGCAAGCGAAGCTTCCGAGGGTGAGCAGAGAAGATTCACTTCTCTCCAACTATTACTACTACCGCAGCACTCCCGAGGCGGGTCCGGTCCTCCGCCAGGCGCCTCTTGCCTCTTGGGGACGGAAAAAACCGATCCCCAGCCTTCGCCGCGGAGGTCGGGAGGATGGCCGCCACGACTGAGGGGGAGGTGGACCCCAAATGCAACGCCAGTGGGTTCTCCCCGGTGCGCTGCGCTAAGGGGCTCCCATCAGACTTCCACAACCGGGAGGAAAGCTAGTCTCCCCCCGTCCTTCACCGTTCTGAGTTTCGTAAACTAAAGTGATAATTTGCAGACCCCCCCAGGAATGGGGTGACCGCTTGGGTAGACTGGGAAGTCTACCGGCGCGTCCAGAGAGCGGCCACCCACTGCTGAAGGCACACCAGCCGGCTGCCTTCGGAGAGGATGAAAGCAGAGCCCAACAGGACACCCTGCTGGTGACATAAATAAAATAGGATGGCTCACCACTCCCAGGTAGCTAAGCCAGCAGGTTCTACAAAGAGAAGCCCAAAGCCATCCTCCCACGCCCACCTCAACCGTGGACAGCTATGAAGAGTGATCTGTGAACTGGGTTGAAAACTCCTCCAGCTGGCCAGTAACTTTTAACCTAGCCAGAC